CTGTACATACGTTTTATCCGTTCAGTAATCATCTGCAGTGCGCATCAATTCTGACCCTGATAGCGGTTAAACCGTTTACACGAATATTGACTGTCTGTCTTTAAAACACACTTATCTACGAATAACTGCAACGCTCATCGTGAATAAGTTACCAAATGTGAAATAGCGCCTTTCACTACCTTCTGACTTTCATATAAGTACCGTGCAAGTAGCCCGATCAACAGTCGACGAATTTACCAAAGTTAGGCTACCAACTCATTATTGGCATCATAAGAAATGTCCTATGAGTTCTGCTCACAGAAGGTTAGTTTAATGTTATATTTGGAAATTCGTCACATCCTTTATCATGCAGACAGCTGACACGCCCGGAATTGCGTTTATCTTATATTTCATCCTTTCAGGAATCATTAACAATGTGCAATGAATTTGACCTTGGCAGGCCTGGTACCTGCAACTGGAATGTTGCTAGCCTGAACTTAAGAAGACTGACCTGCGGATAGACGTGCATCTGTATTATATGTGTATTGGATGTGAAGCCCTATTACATGTGATAAAGCCGCGCTCACTCTCAACTGAACAGAACATATTACCGTGTCGGGGCAAGGTACCACACACACAGTCGAAGAAGATAAGAAATTTAAGCTGCAATTTAGCTCATGTCCTCATAAACAATTTGGTCTGCGTTTAGATTATAGAAGTGCAGCAGGGGGTTCAAACTCGAAACTCGGTTGTTACCAGTGTTATCTTGAGACCACGGATCTATGGAGGACACAACGGTAATGTGGAAAAATATACTAAATTTACTATGGCACAACCCACTATCCCCTGACTTTCATGTTACCAAGGAACGGAGGAAAATGTATCCCTTTAGTAAGGGACGAAAGAAGCAAGCTTAAGCCCCAACTTAACATGGCATTATGAGCATTTTATTCTCTGAACTAAATACGAAAGTGTATCAACGGGTCGAATTGCAAAATTTTACTTTCGACATATGGTTACTCAATCAGGATGTCAGCATACGCCCGGATTTTCAATTTTAGTGAGTTTTGTCGTCTAGGGAATCTTCAGAATTGCGCATTCCATGGGTCTATATTTTAACGAGAACCAGAATAGAAATATGACAAACTGAGAAATTGACAACGTGAGTTAAATGTTGAGGGTTTACGCATGATTGCTAAACATTATATCGAAATAGCAACGCCAACGTATATATTTATTACTCTGCCATTTATTGTATTGCCAATTAAATATTCGGCTGCAGTATGAGTTTAATTATACCGTTTTAATCCATAAGAAACAAACAGCTTTTTCGAAGTCTCCATCTTTAATACTTATGAAGTAAGTAGTCGAAATGCTATGGTGACGAGTACAGCTGATTTACTGAGAATGATATAAAGCTATCGAAAATACTGGCATCCGTATAATTTGTCCAAGAAAGTTAACCCATGCATAAGATATACAACTTTGTGTTATGAAAAACAATACTGTTTTAAGTAAACAGTTTTTGTTGTTTAAGTTAGCAAGTTGATTGCTCTATATCAGCTAAATTAATATTTCGTTTGAAGCGTAGGTGTGATAAATTCCAGTACAGCTGTGCAGGTAATAAAAAAGTCCTGTTTTCTCTCATGTTAAAGAGATATTATTATTTCACATGTTTTCTATTATATAGCAGGCGTGTAGGATTGCCCTTAAGTTTGTTATTCTTCTGGAACCCAGGGTTAATTGATTATATAGCTATCGTTCCAAATATATTTACTAACACCAAGTATTTTAACATAAAGTGCATACCATGTTTAGATGAGTGTTGGCAATCTTGTGAATTAGTCTGTCGAGTTTGGCAATTTTACGCAATGCAATTTCTAAGTCGACCTCCAAATTCTGCTTATCTTGTACCTTTTTATTTTTATTTGTTAAATTAGCTAATTGATACCATGTAATTTTCAATGCAATGGACTTCTGTGATGGTTTAAATATTTATGTATGCTCAAGTAACACAGTATCAAACAGTAGATCATTTCCTCAGTTATTCTGATACTAATTTGATTATGGTGTAATTTATGCACACAAAAGCATGAACAACCTAGTAGCATGTCGCATTATAAATTTGCATTGTGGACTTTACAAAAGCTGAACAGAAAAGAGACCATATAACATGATGCTGTATTGCGTTAATTATAAGTAAACTTTCACCTATTTAATGTAGGAAACAACCCGAATATTATGATTATATATACGAGCTAAACTAGATCTAAATATATGTATCGTCATGGCTGGGCACATTCGGTAAACAGCTCCATCGAAATTATTCGGAGCGGTGGTCATTGTGAAAGTTGCGTTGGAATACACCCTGAATAACCGATGTTCTGAATATTATAAATTTACAGTAATGACCTCCCAATTTGTTTGGTTCTGACAGAAAATGTTTAATCTTACATTGTGTCCGTATCAATATTATTCTATCCAAAAAATTGAAGCAAAGGACAGACTAAAGTTTACATGTAAATCCTGGTTGTATAAGCCATAATTCTGGGAAAAGATAACAAAAATAAATCTGCGTGTACCGTTCACAAATCAACCGATGATAAAATGTTCGATATGGTTTGATTAATAGGATTGTTAAGGTACCGGACATTCTAAATTCACGCCGCGCATGAACGCTAACATTCATACAACGGGCCCTGCGTTTCAATGTTTCTCTATTAACTGATGCTGTCTTAAGCGCCTGAGATTCACTTAAATGGTCTCAACCCGTTATCCTGTAAAACATCCGAGGAAACACAAGTGCCAGGCTTCATTAGTAGATAAACCAGATCTGATTGCATTTACTAAACGACGAACGGTACTTAAGCTAGACACTATCATCAGTTTTGAACGGGCATCCGATAGTCTTTTAGATATAGTAAGCTTTCGGTTAGCGCTGTGAAGTTTGTAGAATAATGTTTGTCCAATGTTGGGCTTATGCCAAAGTTGTATGTATACGCCCTGCGGGTATTAATATTTATAACGTGAAATAGGTCTGTTTCAAATAGGAAGTTATTGTTGCCATCTTAAATGCAGACGTGACGGCGGCTAGTTCCCCTGTATTGCATTGAATCGGCAAGTTAACTATTGGTATTGTGCTTAAAGTGTTTACTTCGATGTTTCAGCAATTTATTCACTAAAGCAAAGATTTTACGTTCTTAAGGATAGCATTCTGTATTTGACACTAATTGTAGTTAGCCGCGTTAGAAAATTCGTAATATAATGTAATAAATTTACCCAAGTCCGTCAGTAAGTTTCTTACTAGTATGTTAAGAGGGAGCTTGAAGTATTTTTGGCAGCATTAAGGATCGCATATTATAAATGTAATTTTGCGCCGTGTATTGTACAATTCTGTAATTTAAGGCAAACTATATAGAACAATTTTACAAGATCAAGCTGTCGACCGTTTAAATGAAATATAGGGAGCAACTATTAGATATAAATTATCTCCAAACGTAGTGGCATCTGAGTACGACTTCCGAAGCTTACGGCTTTGGCAATTTTAACACCGAAATCTTGCCACATAAGAAATGATTCTATTTATCGCAAAAGTATGGTATTATTCTAAGAAGAGAGATATCTGGAATGTAACTGGCTCATCACAATATAACCACTAGGTAAATATTTCACACCCAAGTACGTAGGGTCGGGTCTTATTGTTTTCCTTTCGGATGCAGTAGTTAAATTTGATACTTTGATATTGTTTTCCTCTTTCTGTTACCAAAACACAAACCTGCTTTAATTTTTCACAGTGTTATTTTAATTTAACACTTTGCAAGTTAGTTGGAATAACTAAGTGCTTTGTATGGACACAATAAAAGGAAAACCGTAAGTCCCGTACCTGAATTGTTTCTCACTGCTGGCGCTAATTTACTTATTCATGTGAATGCAGAAAATACTTAAATTTTGGGTCTTAGTGCTGTCAAAATAAAATGTACAGCTAAGGTATAAAAGTAAAAAGTTAAACGTATCATAAGCGCACGTGACTGGTATATGAACTGATAGAATAGTGAAAAACTACTTTTCTCAGACCAGAAATTTGCACAAAGCGGCTCTGATAGCAGCATTAAAACAAGAAAAACAGTGAACTTGAGTATTTATTTATTCTAAACGTTTATGGTTTTCCATTTTGGCGGAAGGTGCAACCTGTGTGTACATATGATTAAGGACCACGAAGTTGTTAAACCTCTACAATCCCTGTTCCTTTCAAGTTCGTATTTATTCTCTCTTACCCCAAACAATTCGCTGTTTTGTTTACGTATATGATCATGAGTTCAAAATTTAAAAGGCTTTGAATCATTCACAATATAAGGACTTTATTGTTCAGCGGCATTTAGATTAAGGTCATTTCATTAGCAACAACGCTCTTCACAGATTAATCGTTGCTAACTTGCATGACATAGGATGTCAGTATTAGACCATGTGCGTTTTAATTTATTGTTGTTCTCGATCATTTCTCTTTGGTTCATAATTAAACTGATAACCGATTGGATAGGCGAATTTGATATTTATTGAATGTCTAACATTTGAGGCTATGATTTATCCGGTGATGATTTAGTGCGTTTAGTTCTTCACTATCGATAAGTTTGTAGTAATGAATACCAATGTATTTTAATAGAACGTTCTACTTATCAGTTTACAACTTATGCAAGGCTTACCATTTCTCTCAGTTTGTTGACAATCACAAGCGTAAATGCTTCGTAAGGTGGTCTCTAAACTGTTTAAATTGCTGTCAGTTAAATTGTGTTTTATTACGTGGCACTAAACTAAAACCAAATAGATGAACCGGAGTTTTGTTACCCTTTTAATTGTACGTAGGGTAGAGAAGTTTAAGTCAAGTAGATTGGTTACCGTACTGGGTGTTTAACTTATGGTCAGCCAATCAGCTACCTTACATCATTAGGTTTGCCCTGATTCGCTAATGCATTAAATTTATTATTCTGCAAGCACTTTGTAATTTTAGCTTACATAAGACGCTACACAAATTGGATATATGTGCGTTCGAATTTTGCCGTTATGATGTGACCAAAAACATGAAGTGAATTGTGTTTGGCTTTCTAATGCCAAAATCCACGTGGAATTCTCGCGAAAACAGAGCATCAAGTATCTCCAGTATTGACACAAACGTTACAGTTGAAGATACCTCTGAGATACCGGGCTACAGCGTCCCAATTGATGCGACAAGTAGCGATTATGAATTATGTTCAAAGAATCCAACAGTATGCGCAGCAAAAAGCGAAAGCAGATTACAAAGAACCAACATTTTTTCTTATATAAAACACAAGCTCTCCAATATATTTAATGAAACTAAAGAAGACAACAATTCAAATGATGTACGAAGGAACGTTACTCCTTTGGAAGATAGGAAAACCGTAGCTAACCTGCGAATTTCTCAAACGACATATATTACCAAGGGTGTTCCAAGTGATATTTCCTATATGAGAAAGCGGTACGAAGATTCCCTCATTCGACTGACATCGTTGACCGATGAAGAGATAGCGAGCGTTCGTGCGAGTTGGGCGTTTCTGAAGACGCACATTGAGAAAATCGGAGTAATTATTTTCCTTGGGTAAGTAATTATGGTCCAACATGTTATGACACCTAAGGTGTGCAGTCATCAAACACTCACGGATCAATATAAGCTTTTGTTCCAAATTTAGCACGGACGATCAGTGGATTCAGCTAAAGCTAATAATAGAAGGTTATAATTAAAATTTGCCAAGTGTTGCTCAATATTAGATTTTGCTGTAACTACTTTAGATAAACATACACTTCATTATTTTAAACTTGACAGTTTTGACTAACTTTTATAGCCGAAGTAAATTGACGAAATATACATATTTCATCTTTTAAACACTCGAAATTTATATTCCACATACTAAACAGGATGAGAAGGAATTATGAACATAAGTTGAATAACAGAGAGCTAGTGATGAGGTCAATTTTAGTAGTCGTTAGTATAATAAAATATATTTGTCTGATTATGGAATCAGCGGCAAACAGGCTAAATTTAACTGAAGCTTCTATTTGATCACGGTGAACTTTGCCAATGTTACTATCAACGAAATATCTTGCATGCAAATAAGCAAACTAAAATGAGAAACGCTTTCTAAAATACTATAATTGAATACTTGTAAATCACATTTTTGGATACCGCAATGAAAACAACTGATTCAAATAAAAAGACAAGTGAACATCTAGACATTTTTAAACTAGTCTATATTCTTTTTCAAAAACTTATGACACTGACAGATAAATAATGAACAGCCATAGAGGTTTTAAGTATATGAGGGAAGAAGTGTATTACTAGTTAATAAAAACGAATTAAATTTCCATGCAAAGTTATCCTTGGCTTCAAATAACCGGATTTTGTCTACATTCTCTTTTCACCCAATTGTTTTTGCACCTAAAGATAAATGTTTCGCCGGTTTTACACAGTTAAATTAGTATTGTTTAACAAATCCAGTAGGATGGTAATGGCAAATATACAATTCTAATTGTGTTTGTATCTTTGAACTCACTAAACTATACGTTGTATAGGCTGTAAATCTAAGGTAAATCTATAAGGAATGACGGTAAATGGTGTTGTTAAAAATATCGTATCCTTCTGGTTTACACATACAGAAGGTAAAACTAAATCGAAATATGGCATTTGAGCGGCTGTAAATTCACTTGCAGACAGTGTGTTTATCCATGGGTACTGACCAAAATAAGAAGTTGCATCTAAATAAGAGCATAGAAAAGGAGCTTTTATTTTTTCCAGCTTTATAACACATACTACAAATTTCAATAGGGTATTTTACCTTCCGGTAACATTTAGGGAAAAGGTCCCGACGACATGCAAAACGACTGTGTTGCTTCGTTAGATTTACATATTAACCAATCACATAGCCTTTGGGACTGAGCTCTAGCAAGTAACGGAAATATTTTTGGGTGCACTTACTATATTGTAGGCCAAAGTGAGGCCCCCGCGCAGTGGCCGGTACATCCGCTGAAGACTCAGAAATATTGAAGCCACTGAACACGCATTTCAAATTATATGGACCCTTAAAATATTATTTGTTTCTCGGCGCTGAGTATCTCCAAACAGGTGAAAGCGCTCCTCAGGCATCCCATACAGACTTTCATTACACATTCCAATGTAGTTGTAGGTATGAGAAAAAAGTTGCAGAAAAAGCAGTGTCTTATCTTTCGAATGCAAGCTTCAACAAATAGCCAGATCCCTGTTGCTCAGAAGACATTTCAAGCGTCTGATTGCAGAGCTTTTATGCGTATACCAACTCGTGAGGTAAATGCAACACCCTACGTGTATCCATACTGAATTGAAGGATATTCTGAATTGACTATGCATATTCAGATCAGCTTGAATTACTCCGACATAATCTGATGTATTGATCGCCAGTCATACCTTGATTTTCTCGGCATAGACCATGAGGTTCGAGGTAATGAGGAGCGTGATAGCGCTAGATTAGGTCAAAAATTATTTCGGTCCAACTACCGATTCTGTGGTACTCCGCGTTCAACCCGTATTAGATCTGAAAATGATTCCCACTATCGTACTTCCAATCGCCGGTGAATAATATAGGATAGTTTTACCAATGCCAAATATCTGGTGTTTAACGAGCCGAATGTTATGGTCTAACTAGCTGAACGGCTTCAAGAAGTTGAGAAAAAATATTTCAACCACTGTGTCTGAGTCTACTACTTCAGTGCAGCTGGATCTTGCTAGTAGTAAATGTGCAGCGCACGATCCATTTCGTTGGACACCATGCTGTTCCGGTACGAGATCCTTAAATATTTAAACCGAGCAGTTAGCCTGTCAGCAATAATAGCTTATATGGTTTTGAAAGAACCGCTGGTAAGATTATGAGACGGTAGTTAATTGGACTAAAACGACTAGCACTCTTTCGAATAATAGTAATTATCCCGAAGTTTCAAATCATTTGGAAGATTCAAGCCATAGTCATAGCTAAACTCTTTGCTACCCTTGCTAGCGATTAGTATTTATGTTAGCAAATCTATAAGTGCTGGGTTAGCTCATGCTCATCAACATTTTATTATAGCTTCCGCCGTGAGAAATATGTTAACGAGTTTTTGGGGTGAATAATCATTATTATTGGGTATACGGTTGGTGATTACAATCAAATTTTGTAGCATATTTCAATTGCAGTTTACCAGCCGTCTCTTTCCATGTCCTCTTGGGTCCGTCTGCTATTTGAATGTGAGGAATTACCCGTTTCATCTTACGTAGACTGTTGACGTGTTGATACAGATGCTTTTGATTTGAAGCCATACGCACTAGCAACTTTATCTGTTGCCACATTCTTTATTAGAGAACAAGCTGAGTACAGTGGTTACGTTAGGTCGCATAGGCTATCTGATTCTCGGTGTGCCTGAGGAGCTTGTTCGTGTGCCAGTTTGCATTTTGCTGTACTGGACACTTGCGGATCCTGCTTCACAGAAACAAGACCACTTTTCTTTAGCGAAAGTCATACTAGCTGACGCGTCGAAAACCAGAGAATTAAAGTGGCTGACAGAATGCTCCCAGGCACTAGCTGCTGCCTCCTCTGCCATCTAGGTCTAGTTGACTGTCTTACCTAATCGAGCTAAGATGTTATAGCGTATAGCAATTTGGGTTGCGTCGGCAATTTCCACAGGAGTGTCTGCATAGCAAATTATTCGATGTGTAGGACTAAATTATCTATGCGACCCAAGCGGACGCCGTCGATCAATTTCTGGACACATTGTTCTTTTTTGGTGAACATCCGATCCAATATTTATGGTTTATCATCCTCTTGGAACCGGTTAATTTTTTGAGATGAATAGACAGCGGGAAACTTCAGAAAACTTTGAAGGTACGCCTTATACTTTTCTCCGGGAGTTTCTTGGTATTCCAGTGCATGACTGTTAAATTCACCAGTAACCAGAAACTGATTTTAACTTGTGTTCATCAACCTTTCTTGTGGGGATGCCAGATTAATTCCAGTTTCTGAAATGAAGTAAAGTGGGCTATATATGTCCACAAATAAGCAGGTGTTGTCGCCTTTTGAACCTACAAAACATCAAAATGAATCATATACCGTCCTGACCGGATCAGAGTTCGCTGCAATTGTGCGGTGCCACCACGTCTCCTCTGATGGACTGGTCATGCCGAAAAATGGACGTCTGGCAGTGCTTCCTTGATGTCACTAACGCCAAAGAGGTCGAAGGCATTTGATCCTTTATGAAAGCATATTTTGGAATGTTTACTCAGTAAGCTTTATGCACTGCAATTTGTACAGAAGAACTTGTTGGATGACAAAGCTGATGACTAGGAGCAAATTAATGATGTGGATTTGCGCTGAATGCTGAGACGCCGGAAAAACTAGATAGTTTATTAAATTTCAAATTGCAAATGAATGCATTCTGTTTTTATTCTTACTTGCACCTGCAAGAAATATTCCATTGACAGCCTCCTAGTAAGCCACGTGTCTTTGCGCACAGATTTCCGAATTTGTTTTGCAGTTTTATTGAGTCGCAGGTGGTGTTGTTACCGCGGTAACAGAGAGTGGCTGCAGTTCTCTAACTGCTGTCCTCGGTTGTAGTTGCAATGTAAGTTTCTTGCCTAGTAATTGTCAGCTAGGGTTTAACTTTGCGGCCATCTGTAGTTGCTGCACCGTTAGTTTCTTTATCCCAAAAACAATGCCTCTTCTCTTTGATGACCCCGATAACCGTGTAACCTACTAATATAAAAGGCCGCCCAAACAGATAGCTTTATGGATTCTACTTCATTCTTCCAAGTCATGAGGATAGGCTTTTGCGTTGTTGGTTATAGGTAGCTCGGGCACGCCAAGAACGAAAATACTACTTTTGCTACTCCGTGTGACGGTGGTCTGAATTAATTTTTTCCCACTACCGTTTGTTAAATAAAACGTCCGGAAATATGCGTACCTTGCTGTTTCCACAATGCAGGCTGTATACCGAAAAAAGCACCGTCTCGATGTCATACGTTTACCCCACTGGTACTCACAGTAACCGAGACTCTCCTTAACGAATGGAGGTTAGATGTCTGATGAAGCTCATTAAATTATTAGGCATAGCATGAAGTTTGTTGCTGTCAGAAAGGAAATTCAAAAGTTTTAAACTATCCAGCTGCTCAGCCCTTAATCCAGCTCCTCATATTGACGACGAAAGTATTGTACATAGTGCTATATGTGTGCTATATTTCTTAAAACTAAGGTCTTTTGAAGACGCGTTTTAGTAAGTTAGGGATGTTAAAGTTCGATGGAATAGAGTACAGATTACACAAAATATATTTACTAGTATTTAAATTTGAGCTGTTTTTACTAATATGTACAGTACAGGAATAAGTAAATGTTTAAATGTCAGTCGTAAATTTCCAAGTTGCTCACCACTGAAGTAGTGGCACTAGCTGCTGGCAACCGGATATCGTAAGTCGGAACAGCGCAAAGATCATAAGGAGGGGCCATGACAGCCGAGTGCCACATATTCTAAACAGCACAATCTGGTGCTTTGTTAAATTTTCTAAATGTTGATGATTGAGAGTAAACGGTGACGAATTATCTCTGA